AAAAGGTAACTGGATAAAAGTAAATCCAAAACAGGGGTGTTATGCCACGTTTACCAACAATGATAAACGCTATGGCCAAATCTGCATGGTATCCAACTATCCCAAACTCATAAGTCTATCACTACATCGGCTCACAGGCCGTAAAGCCAATAAAAAGGTACTATACTATCGGGCACTAGACTCCGTTCTCGTTTAGACATCATCTGTAAGAACACAAATAAACATGGGATGACGCCCGGTCAGCGAAAAATTCTAGTAACCCACCAATACATGTGAAATATCATACATAGATAGATATAAGTTATAAAGCCATTTTCGAAACGGAATACATAAGTATATAAGTACAAAACCGAGAGCAATAGTCAACACAAGACTCAATACTCTCAACAAGGACACGGGAACACATCCCAAACCACAAAGGATATCACAACACAAGGACAAAGACACGACAAATGGCAACACATGCCCAACCACACATGCCTTTGTGACAACACACGTCACAAGAAGAGAACACACAACCACGGCTATACAAGCCCTCGTGATATCACACGTCACGAGTTGATATGCCTTCCTTATGCCCGGTTCCAACCTTATGGCTACCCCCAACCTTATGTCTAGTTCCAACCTTTACCTCCAGGACCCCTGTACACCAAGTCCAACCTTATTCCTCCGAGGACCGTCGTCCCCTCTCCAACCGATCTCCAACAGAACCACCGATTTCATAGGACACGAGGGTACCGATCACACACACGGCAACACATGCCTCTCCCAAAACACGTGAACCTTACACAAAGGTGACAACTCCATAAACGCATCATGGCCACCACGAGGACCGCTGCAATACCTTGGTGACTAGTGTCCCATACCACAAATCGTGCAATCCAGGAAAAGCCACACACGTATCACACTTCAACCAGAATCAATCAACGGATCACAACGAAGGTATGAAACACACTCAATCAAGGAATGGGTCACAGCCCACAACAACAACGATGAATAACACAAGTTATCATCAACTAATCGGAAGGTACAAACAACACACATGCTAGCATTTAGACACCAAACCAGCATGCTTATCAAACGGATAAACCAAAGGTAGTTCCGAGGAACACAGAAGACACATCACAGTTCAACGAAACACAATGTTGAACACTTAGCACGATTCAAGACACCAAAGCCCTACATGGATACCTACCATATAGTTCTAGACATACCAAACATCAAGAAGACACTCAAATAGTTCCACAAAAGAACATTGGAAAGTCGAAAGACCAAATACCGAGTCAAAAGAATCACGGGTAACAAATCCCCAAACATCACCACACACGTACCCGCGGGTAGGCCCATGGGTAGGCCTCTACCCGCGGTTCCGCCCGCGGGTACAGGTCTACTCCGCCATTGTACCCCGCGGGTGGGCGACGGGTTGGACCCCTGCCCACCGTCCCGCCCGCGGGTACAACCCTGTACCACAAATCAACACTTCGCGGATTTTCTTCTCCAAACTCAAATTCAAGTCCAAGACATGCCAAATCTCACCCAATGCAACAAAATGACTTGAATCATAGGAAATGCCAAGCAATGGCACACAAGAACCCTAAACACAAGCTCTAGATATGCATTTTCACAAGATCATGCATCAACACTCACATTTCATAGCAAAACACAAGTGGAATCCAAGAAATCACATATAGGCAAGCAAAATAGGTTTTGTAGAGCATGGGTTACCTCTTGTAGACTAAAAGACTTCACTTTACACCTCAACAAGCTCCTTCACAAGGTTCACTTTCCAGACCCACTTCAAGAACAAACCAAAAGATCATAAAGATCCTACCTTTAAGAAAAGACACCTAAGATGGAACCAAAAACACAAGATAGACTTAGATCTTACCCTCCTAGATGCCCAAATAGGTGAAAGGTTGAATCTTGGAAGCAACTCTTGATGTCTTGACAAGGTCTCTACTTAGCTTGGAGGAAAAGCTACTCACCTTTCTAGAGAGAAGGTAGAGCTAAATTTTTAGAAAGTGTAAGGGGTAGAATGAAGATGTCTACTAGATTAGGTTACAATACTAACACTAGGTGAAAGGTCAAGAATGCCCTTACTAACATTAGAAAGTGTAAGGAACAAGGGAACTCCCTTCAAAGCTCAAGGTACAACTTGACTTTGAAGTTGACTAGTCAAATACTAGTCCTCAAGTATTAAATTTCAGGATTTTAGGAATTAAATCCTCAAGTGAAATAGGATTAATTACTCAATTAATCTATTATTTGAATTTGAATTTCGGGGTGTCACATGGAATCTTGGAGACAAACTTTGAAGATCTTGGAAAGTCTAAACTTAGCTTGGAGAGAAAGCTAGCTAGGTTTTTGGAGAGAAGGGAGAGCTTTTGATTTCAAAGTGTTAGTAGAGAAATGAAAGATGTCTTCTAGGTTAGCTTGGTATACAATCATAAGGGAAATGTCTTCTTTTCCCTTACTAAGATCAAAAGTGTAAGGGAACCAGGGAACTATTCACAAAGCTTTAGGTACAACATCTTGATTTGGGTTGACTAGTCAATTACTAATCCCCGACTATTAAATTTTCAAGAATTTAAAAAATTAAATTACCAATTGGATTAGAATTAATTAATTACTTAATTAATCCCTAAATAGAATCCGGATTTACGTTGTTTCACAGTTACGGAATTATGAATGTACAGTTATGGAAGTATGAATGTACAGTTATGAAATTATGAACACAGAGCTCTGACATTATGAACTTACAATTATGAATATATAGTGATTAAATTATGAACATGGAGCTCTAAAATTGTGAACATAGAGCTTCGAAAATTGTGAATTTACAGTTATTGAATTATGAATGTACAGTTACGGAATTATGAATGTACAGTTATAGAAGTATGAATGTACAGTTATGAAATTATGAACACAGAGCTCTGACATTATGAACTTACAATTATGAACATATAGTGATAAAATTATGAACACATGCTCCTATAACGAAGCGGTCTGAAATTTTAAAAAACAATTGTGAAAGATAACGGTGCCACTAACGGCACCGTTACCGTGTCCACAATGTATGCTAGACACGGGTCCATAGCATAACGATTGGACTTTAGGAGAGTTTGTTGTCCCATATTTTGTATAAATATTTGCATTGTTTTGACATAAGGGATCGGGTTCAATTACAGCATCTTCATTGTCCAATCTTCTATTATAATAGCAATATCCATTGTAATCATCTTACAACATATTATCAATACGATATTGTCCCCGCGACATATATCTATCCGCTACTTTGCATTTATTTTATCCTTATTTTCCATATTATCCTTACTCTTTAATTATCGGATTTGATAATTCGGACCACCCGGATTAATTAAATCCATCATAAACCCAGATAAGAACGTAAATAGGAAATAGATAAATAGATACGACGACATCATAAGGTCGTGGAGACCGTATATTATATTATAATAGGCAGGCTATTATAATGATTCGGTTAGGACAAAGTAGATAAGCCCTTTTAGTGTTTAAAACTCCCTGATCAACTCCAACTTCAAGCTTTCTCTGAACCCCCAATGGCCGCCTGCTCCCAACAGTGCATGTCCAATGAGTATGTTTTATCGACAGTTCTTTCTGCTTGATCAAGCAGTGGTTTGTGTGATGAGTGGCGGCAGTTTCATGGGTATTTGGTGAAGTCCGGGTTGTTGTCTCATCAGTATGTGAAGAATGGGCTTGTCAACATTTACTCGATTTCTTTAGATGTGGACGGAACTATGAGGGTATTGGATTCAGGATCGGATAATGTCACTTACAATTCTTTTATCAATGGCCTTTTGGATGGCGAGTATGTAAGTGAAGCATTGGCCATTTTGAAAAGAATGGTGGGCGATGGCTTAACATGGGATAATGTCACATATGTTAATGCTTTTAGTATCTGTGCTCGGCTTAAGAGTTTGAATTTTGGTTTGCAAGTGCATGGAAGTTATCGAAGTCCAGTGTAGAGTTTGATTTCTTTATTGGTAGTGTAATAATGGACATGTATGGAAAATGTTGTGAAATGTTTTGTGCAAGAAAAGTCTTTGACTCTCTGCAAACTCGAAATGTGGTGTCTTAGACTACCTGTAGAGTGAGTGCTTTGAGGAAGCACTCAAAATGTCCCCACAAATGGATATGCGGTGCTGCTAAACGCTTGTGCTAGTCTAGCAGCAGCACTTGGGTATGGAAATTCATTACATGCATGTGTTGGGAATGCTTTGAACAATATGTACTCAAAGTGTGGCCTCATTGAAGCTGCTAGTGCATTGTTTTTAAATATGGTTTACCGAGATACAGTAACTTTGAATTTGATAATATCTGGTTTATCGCATTGTTGGTTTGGTTTTATGACTTTTGGGCAGTCAACAGCAGGTCAACACTACTGTTAGAATAATAAGAAAATAAGTGAAATATATGGAGGAAATATAGGAACTTTGTATTAATGAGTATTGCTCATGAATAGAGAAAGTTGCCACCCCTCATTTATGTGAGGGGTCTATTTATACATATTTTGGGCCTAGAGCCCTACAAGGAATAAGAATTCTAGACTACCTCATATTGGGAGTCTTAATTACATAATGAGACCTAATTCTATTATACTAGAAATAATGAGTCCAATTCTAATTATATTGGGAATAATATAATAGGCCCAATTCTTGACAATCTCTTGGGTTACTCTGTGTCGTGTATCTTTCTCGAGCTTCCTTGATCTAATTGTTTTCTTAGGCCGATCCATGTGGCCCAGGCCTAGTATACTATCCATCATCTAGTCCCTCACTTTCTTGAGATTTTGCGAAGTCAATATCTAAGGAAAGTATCTCAAAAATATTCTCTGATCCGTTCTTCACTTCTAAAAGTCAAGTCTTCTAGGTGGTGGTCTTTTTGAATGCAACCGTTAAACTAAGCGGTCCATGGTGAGCCCCTAAGCCAGAGCTGAGTGTAGGGGGCCCAGATTACGCTAGTTGCCTCGTTAAAAACCTTAGTCTATGAAAAACCCAGTAGGAAAAAGCTTAGCTAAGGGAAAAAGAGTACAACTATGAGTGCAATCTTTAGGACTATAAAGAGTCTTCTTTCATGCCATTAACTCCTTCTGGCTGAATCTCAAGTGATTCTTCTTATCCGATAAGCTTTTGGTAATTATTTCCTACAAGATAAATAAATAACATCTGATTAGAGGGTCATGCCTTTAGTTTTGACTAAATATGAGATTCTTGATTAAAAGATAGGTTAAGAAGTTCCTATCTTCCTTTCTTGTGACCAACTGCGTACTTACTCATTTGCTACCATTATTGTTATAGGTAGCGCAGAGCTAACCATGTAAATTAGCTGACAGCATGGAGCTTGTCATGTAATGGAAGTGACAGCACAGAACTTGTTATGTAATTTGAGTGACAGCGTGGAGCTTGTCATGTAATATGAGTGACAGCGCGGAGCTTGACATGTAATATAGTTGACAGCGCGGAGCTTGCTATATTATGTGGTGGGTAGAACTTTTCACAATATTGGTTTCATTTGAATAAGTTGGTAGTTGGGCACATTAAATAGTTGATAAAAATATCATAAAAAATAAATAATAATAATAACAGAAATACTTTTCTTTTATTATGTCGACTGGTAAATGCTCAATCGCGGTCGATCGCGTGGTTCTCGGCTATCTGTACTCTCTTCTTCTTGAATCTACCATGGAGGTTCATGTATGAAGACCCAAAACCTCCTACGTGCAGTAAAATTTGAGCCCACGACACCCTTTCTCGTGTTTGGATTCCCTCTTAGTCATCACGTGTCTGTTTGTATTTTTGGCTTCAAAATTGGGATGTCCTTAGTCGTATCCATATGGAAAAGAAATTAATTGCTTTGCTGGCCAGAATGAAGATTATTGTTGTGGAAGTAAACTGAAGCACAGCAGAAACAATTAATGCCTAGAGAATCATCGCCGAAAAATTAATTCCCAAAATAAACTGCTACTGCCCACTGAAAAATCGTAGTTGTTACGGCTAGGTTATTTCGTCGCGCCAAGGAATTGCTTGCAAGAATTCGTTGCCACCTAGGAATAATTTTTGTCACTACAAACGAAGAATCTTGCCGCCGAGATCAATTTGCTGCCAAACTAGAATTGAAGCATGTCGCTCCCTTCTTTTATCGTCTCCGAAATAGGTCCCGGGTTTCGCGATTGGTGTATTACGTTTGAGGAAGGAACGTAAACTTTTCGTATCGATCTCCAAAGACGACGCCAATGTTGGTTTTATGATTTTTGGGCAGTCAACGGCAAGCCAACACTACAATTAAAATAATAAGAAAATAGGATAAATATATGGAGGAAATATAGGAACTTTGTATTAATGAGTATTGCTCATACCAAGTGGCTTGTAGTCCACTGGTATCCGATTGGCCCCTTATGTGGGATGTCTTAGGTTCGAGCCTTGGTGAAGGCGTAGATAGTATATGTGGGTGTCATCCTTCCTTTGTAAAAAAAAAAATGAGTATTGCTCATGAAAAGTGAAAGTTGCCTCTTATCCTTTATGTGAGGGGACTATTTATACATATTTTGGGCCTAGAGCCCTACAAGGTAGGAATAAGAATTCTAAATTGACTCATATTGGGAGCCTTAGTTACATAATGACTAATGAGACCTAATTCTATTATATTAGAAATAACAAGTCCAATTCTAATTATATTAGGAATAATAGGTCCAATTCTTGACAATCTCTTGGGTTAGTTACTCTGTGTCGTGTATCTTTCTCAGGCTTCCTTGATCTAATTGTTTTCTTAGGCCGGTCTATGTGGCCCAGGCCTAGTATACTATCCATCACGCATCATGATTCTGAGAAAGGGATAGCACGATTAACAAAAAAAATAAAAATAACACGAATTTTTTTTAAGAGAGAGAGGGAGGAAGTTTAATAAAAAAAGAATCCATTAGATCTGGACACGTGGACGAACAGAATTCATTCCTATTTCGCGTCTGGGCGAAACATTTGCACCTGAGTGTGATTATATATATATATATATATATATATATATATATATATATATATATATATATATATATAGATTGTAGGTTTACAACATGAAATAGAAAAAGAATAAAACAATCTTTATGAAAGCGATTTGCCGCCATACATGTGACAAATAAATAATTGTCTTTTTTCTTTAGGATAAATCTAAAGTCTTTTAAAAGATAAATTCATAAAAGAATATAATGTAAGTGTATCTGTCTATGTCCTATGTTATGGCCTAGGGTCGTCCGAAGCCTTTGCTGTCACCACATCCCATAATCGAAGAAGGCAATTTCCCCACCTTCTCAATTCCTTCCTCGAAAACGACACCCATTCCCATAAAGAAATGCGACTCTATATGGCAATGGAATGCCCAAACCCCAGGGTTATCTGCCCGGAACCGCAAAGCAGTCCAGCCGTAGGGATGAACCGGGACTGTGTTCTTCATGATCGGGTTCTCAAGATTGTAGTTTTTGGGGTCACTGGACCGGTTGAACTTGTCGGACCCGTACCCCAACACCCAGAAATCGTGGCCGTGCAAATGCCAAGGATGGGTCTCACTGTTGTTAGGGTTCATGGTGTTGGCGTTTTGCAGAATTATGTCCACTGTGGAGTTGAACTTGAGCCTGTAAATGGAGTTGCTGGCCACGGCGTTAGTGTTGTTTTGGACGGAAAAGATGTCGTAGGTTCGGTGGTCGTAGTCCTCCGGCGGGGGTGTCTGGTCGAAAGCGTGCAAGAGTTTGTGCTTGAGGGCGATGAGATAAGGGGTGTGGGGTAAGTTGAAGGAGACATTATTAACAGACCATCTTCTAATCCCATTGATTTGGTTTTGTGTGTTGAGCATGACGATGACACGGTCAGAGGTTCTCGGCGGCGCGTGGACGAAACGCGGGTGGGCCTTCACCGCCAGGCTCTGCTTTACCCTGGGCTCGGTGTCGTTCCAGTGCGGCCCCGCAGGTGGAGTGGTTGGGGGATTTCTCTTAGGATGGTTTGGGTAGTAATTGAATATGCCCAATCCATTAGAGGTGTTGCTGGGTCTACTCACAATTTTTGAACTTATCCAATAGTTCCTTGAAGGGTCTTGGTCAGCTTTGACCAGTACAGAATATGTCTCCCCAGAATAAATAAACAGATTTTTCACAACAAATGGATCAACATAATGGCCGTCAGCCTCCACCACCGTCATGTTATGACCCTATAGAACAAGAAAAAATATATATATTATGTTTTTGTAACTTATACACAACCTTGTTCATACGCTTACGCTTTTAGTGATGTCGAAATTTAATATAATTTACCTCTATTTCAAAACTTAAAGCCGAAAGGGCGGTTAAGCTTCCAATCCTAAGGCGGTAAACCTTGCCGGGGACAACGGTCATGGAATACGGCGAACACTGCGGATTTGTGGCTTCACAGACGGCGGCATCGCTGCTGGCACTGCTACAATTGAATTTTCCTCTTCCGTGTATCAAAAGCGACTGAAAATTTTACAAATAATTGGTGATAAGTATGTAAATATTAACCAGATTAGAATCTGAATAAGCAAGCTCTGTCAACAAATTTGATGGATCGGAGTAAATTAATTAAATTATTACCTGAGGCTCTCCAACCCAGGTGAAGTTAGGTGCAGGAAGGGCAAGGCCAGTAGCTTGTTCATAAGTGGTCTTGTGGTACCAATCTGTGAGGAGAATACTGCGGTCATAGTCGTACTCAAATGGTTCGGAATCGGCATAAACTCGGATCATTCCTTGTAGCCCTGCTTGTCTTTGCATTCCATAGTGAGCATGGTAGAGGTATGTTCCCGGCTGCAAATCAACAAACTATGTATTAGAATCAAACGCTAGCTTACCACTTAAGGTACAACTTGGGTAATGGACTTGTCCTTTACACTTTATGGATCTCGATCAGCCTAACAATTATCCAGCCACCGAGTGCTTAGACTTGGCCTTTATCAGCCTCCACCCAACACTATGAATCCCATAACATGATGATCAAGAATCTTGTTCTTTAATCTGATAAAACAGTAAAGTGGCAATTAACTTACTCTGTCGACAACAAATTTGTAAACGTGAGTGTCTCCTGCCACAACTGGGCATTGGGTCACCCCCTCTGTGCCATCAGCCCATGGAGTTCCTATCTGAAACCATTTAAAACAACACAGTACAAATTCATATACCACCATGAAATTAATTTCTGGAAAACCAGATGAGATGAGAGAGAGCTGCTTAATTAATCATAACTTAAACTCACCTGTCTGATGCCATGCCAATGGATGGCGAGATTTTCAGTTAACAAGCTGTTCTTGACCTCCACCACAACGGTGTCACCTTGTTGAGCCACGATGGTGGGTCCCGGAGATTTGCCGTTGATGGTAATAGCCAGCTTCTTGTAGCAATCCGGCGACTTCAACTCGTACTTTACATCCCATTTGTAATGCCGAACTTTAGCGTCTACTGAATTCGCGGAAGCAAAGGCGGCTAAGAGGACTAAGCAAACACGCACAAACCTTATTGTCATCATCTTGGTGCCCAAACAACAAATTAAAGTGATTAAATTATATCAATGAAAGAATAGTTTTATAAAAGAATAAAAAGTGTATGTATTGGAGAATTGGTTGATCTGGGAATCCTCGCTCTGAGATGCATGTATTTATAGTTAAACATATATTGGCAGCATACTTTGGACTGGTCAATATTTTTGGCCAGTTGACAAATCTCAGCTCGGATGAAGCCATGAAGCAATAGTGTTGGACTAGTTCCAAAAAATTCATCTCTCACACACACACATATATTCTTTTGATATTCTAAGTATTCTAATTTTGCCGAACTAATATCTGAATTAAGTTGACAAACGGTACACTTTTGTGCAAGGAGCCCAATCTCTAAATTGTTTTTGACTGAGCTTGAACTTTTTCATTGCCATTAAAATGTGAGTTATAAATGCAACTTCTTAATTAAGCGCCGGACTATTGCGTGCCTAGTATAGGGGGCAGAATTCATCTTATTTGATCTCTAAATTCACAAATCATTTTGCATGTGGTCATGAATTTTCTCTTTAACAACTAACAACTTAAATTTACAACTCTAGCTTAAATCAAGGAAATAATAGCATATAGGCTGCCTAAAAACTATGTCATGTAAATCATACTCTTAACTGTTTCTAAGTAAAACATACACATTGAACTTCCCTCAACAGTATTTGTTATTATTAGTTTCCTTATGATTAAACTAACCTTGGAATATCTCCCCCATTGTCCATTTGCCCCTCATCACTAAAAGTATATCCGTGTTAGTAAACAAATCTCAAACTCTATAAAAAGTGACATGTGTGTAAATTAAAATAACATAGTGATCGAATAGAGTATTAAGTATTTCTTTTTTAAATTTATAGTCATAAGATAGAAAATATCATCTTCTAATTAGCTTAGCTTGTTTGATAGTGAGTCGGTCAATAAACACGTGCAATTGAATGTTTAAGGGACACCCCTTAATCGATATAGTTGGACGTGTGTCATTTTTTTGATTGATTTGAAATAATCAAATATAATAATTTTCATTTAACGGGTATAACAAAGACTTTAATTTTTTTGGTTGACAAATGTTAGTTGAATGAAATATGAATAGTCTAGATCAAAGTTGGCTTGGCAGTTGGCAATAAGGATTAGAACTTAGAAGAGAGGGAAACCGCGTATATATTCTGCTATCATCATATTCTTATATTATATAATTGACTATATATTATTGTTAATAAATTAATAATACTGCTGACTAAAAGCAAAGATTGCTTTAATGAAGTAACATGGTGTAAAGTTAGCAATTGCATATTTGCATGTGGTTATACTATTTTTTTTTTTAATAATTTTTTAATATTTTTAGAAATAATACTATTTTTATATATGCACTTAAATTAGATCAAAACACGCTATTGGTTTAAAATTTAAATAATTATTTAAACCCCTTTTACTTATTTGGCACCAACTACTATTGGAAGATGCATGGAAATATCAACATTCAATAACATGTAAATATTACCCATTTGCAGTCATATTATTTTTATGCCTCACCTACTCTTGCAGGGAAAAAATCAAAGGAGTCTGCACGGGCTTACCTCACTGGTTTAGTAGGCAATGTTTAAATTTTAACAGTAACAGTATGGGGATTATGCTTAAAGTGGACATATCGCTTATGCACATCGACATTTGGCTTTGTCTGCTGAGTCATTGAATTATCGTGATTTACATCTTTTTAAATGTTTTATCGGGTCAAGGTGTGGGGGCCTTGGAGTTGGGAATTCAATCTTTTGGGAGAATAAAAAAAATCAAAGGAAAATGATATCTGCCCAATTGGCTGAGCTGATGAGGACCGCTAGAGATAAGGTTCAAACTTTGCTTGACACATTCCTAGCAATGTTAGTAAAAAACTTTAAAAAAATTAGCTCTAGAAACCTGGAAGGTGTTATAATTAAGACCGAAGATATAATTATTTGGTAAAATTAGCAGAATGTAGTGAACTATATGTTTATTTTATTTTTGACAGTGGAAGAGAAGGAATGTTTCATTATTAAACTTATATGGTTTAACTACTACACATCCATGTTTTACTCTTTAAAATGGTGTATTATGAAAAATGATAGTTTTCAAAAAAGAACTACTACACATCCATGTTTTACTCTTTAAAATGGTGTATTATGAAAAATGATAGTTTTCAAAAAAGTTTAAAAATTGAGATATTTTTTTTTTTAATGATATACTCCCTCCGTACTTAATTGGTTGTCACATTTACTTTTTGGACACTTTTTAAAGAACTAAAGTAGTAAATGTTATGTGTTTTTCAATTAGAGTTAATTGGAAATTTTTAGTCATTTTATTTTCAAAAGATTCCTATTTGGGCTAATATTATTGTGGCATCCATTAACAGAATTGTTTAAATTTCTACTATACTAATAAGAGCCCAAGAGAGTTAGGCCTATAATGGGTAGAAAAAATGGCGGTCAAATTTTTTAATCAAATGAATGGCTCAGATTGATCAGATTTTATTTTTTTCTTAAGATTTACTAATTTATCCTTAATGAATATGATTATCCGTTAACTTTTCCGTTAATTTCTGTTAGTTCACCATTAATTTACTCATTGATTTCAATAAGAAAGGTTTTAGGTTCAAACTCATCCCAATCAAAGTTGGCATAATTAGTACTATATCAGACTTTTATTAAATTAAATAATAATTATATTCGCTACATTGTCCCTACAATGTCTTTATTAAAAAGAATATTCATTATCAATAAATTAATTAAGAGAAATAATTATATTAGTTATATTGTCTTTATATTTCTCCAACGTAAAAATACTTTACATTCAAATTCATCAATTGATTTGTTCACTATATTGTCTATTATCTTTTTGTGCACTATTTTTTAATTAAATATCAAAGTTATAATACAAAATAATGCTATATATTTATTTACCAAGTATTTTATTAATACCATAAAAAAATTAAAAAAATATAATTAATAAGGCCAATCATATTAACTACGGGTTTTGTTGACAAAGAGAGTATTCAAATCACACAACAAATTGAAGTGAGAACTACCTCGCAATGTCCTTGTTTGACAATCGGCAGTTAACGGTTAGCGTTAGCGGATTATATTTGCGAATTTGACCAGCGAATTATATCAACGGTTGGTAAAAAGATATTTAAAAAACTTAGCTGTTTAGATTAACATGTAAACTGACCTGAGGGTATACATATATTTAATAATAATAATAATAATTGTTTTAATACATTAATATATATATATATATATATATATATATATATATAATTAAGGCAATCATATTAACTATTTGGGAAAATTATTAACAAAAAGAGTATTCAAATCACACAACAAATTGAGGTGGAAAACTACCTCGCAATGTCCTTCTTTGGCAACCAGCAATTACATCTTCAATATTAGTATATATTTAACATTTCATGCCCTAATTTTTAATTGCTCTCCCTTATGTCTCGTATTTGGTTTCAACCATACCAATACAATTATAATATTGACAATTATAATCAATCTTGACTATATTATCTGATCTTGCATTTGTAAACTTAGAATTACATATTTAAATACGCAAATTCAACATTCAATTATCTATACATGAACAATTGCAATATAATCTTGCCTTAATATACTTTAAAGTACTTATTTAGAAAAACATTGGGCATTATCCCAATCGCGCAATGCGCGTAAAAAACTAGTTGTAAAATACAAAGGCATTTAGGTCTTCAATTATGATTTTTTTTCAAAAAAATAAAAATAAAAATATAGCGGGTCAACCCACTTTGTATAGAAAAGATTGAAATGTCATTGTATTTAACGACATTTCAACGATTTTGTTGGCGAGGGACAAAAAATAGTCATGTCACAATAATATTATGACCAAATGGGATGTTCTGAAAAAGAACTAAAGTGGCTGTCACCTATAAATTTAGGACCAAAATGGAATTAACTCTTTTCAATTATGTCCCTCACTTTTTTCACTTTTATAAATAAAGGCAATAAAGAAGCAAAACTCATAAGGGTAAATTGGAAAAAGTAGAATGATGGTGATGTTCAATTATGAAAAGATGACAACATTTTGGAACAAACAAAAAAAAAAGTCAGATAAAATGAGACAGAAGGAGTATGTAGTAACTTTTTATAATTAAAATAAAATTTTATAGTTTAACATAATTCTACATAACTCATGATATGGTAAGTCCGTTTATAGGTAATCAATTACTTTAAAGTAATTGTTTTTTTTTTTGGTACATTTGAAGCTCTTCCAAGAGAGCCTTATCTGACCCTTAAACTAGGCGTGTTACGGGATTCTGCGAGGAGAATCTCATTCATAGCAGCTGGGGGATAAGCTAACGTAAGAGTCCCCCAATCAATATTTTGTCCGAAGTTTGCAAGCCAGTCAGCGCTTTTGTTGCCTTCTCTCTTTACATGGGTGATTTTAAGCCTGTGAAAATGACTGCAAAGATCTAAGCAGTCTTTGACCAAACTTATCATGGTCCCTTCTCTGTGGTCTCCCTTAGTCATCACGGCCACTACAGCTGCCGAGTCCATTTCAACCCAGACCGTGTCAAAACCCTCTCTCATGCAGAGTCGTAAACCCTCCCTTAGGCCCCACAACTCGACTGAGAAGCTATCCGTATCCCCGATTTTCATTGCAAAGCCTTTAACCCAGTGACCATGCTCATCTCGGATAATACCACCAGCCCTCGCCAAACCTGTGCTAGTCTTCATAGCTCCATCTGTATTAAGTTTCACCCACCCCGCGGGAGGAGGCATCCATTGAATCCAATCCTGAGATCCTTGATTCATACCCCCATGTTTGACAATGTATAAATTTGCCTCTTTTGCGCATGCACGAGCCGACTTGATAATCTGCGCCGGGCTTTCATACTTGTTGTTGAACGTAAGGTTGTTTCTGCTCTTCCAAATTAGCCAAATTATGTACACGAACATGCTGCTCCAAGTTATGCCATCCTGCATCGACATGTTGCTACGAAGGTTGAATTCTATCCAATCGTTAACCGGCAGGTAGTTCCTCAGGGTCATCCCTCCGTAGTTCTCTATGATTTCCCAGCAGCTTTTAGCATACGGACAGTCTCTAAAAAGGTGGGCGATCGTTTCCTCCTCATGCTGGCATCTTATGCACGAGTTATCCTCTGTTAGGTGTCTCCTCTTCCTTTCGGCGTTAGTGAAAAGCCTTCCTTTGAGAAGAATCCAAAGGAAGGTTTTTACTTTTTCTACACACTTGATCTTCCATACCCATGACCAGTCTTCATCCCCCTCCAGATTACCTGCAATAAGGTTAAAAGCAGAGGCAACAGAAAACGTACCTGTGGTGCTATTCGGCCAAATGAGTTTATCGGCAGTGGACTCCTTTATCGGCACCGGAATCGCTCTTATCTTGTTAACCATCACTTCCGGCAAGAAAGTCATTAAGGCTTCCGTGTCCCAGTTGCGATCTAACTTAATAAAATTGCTAACTTTAACATTACAGAGATCATCTGGAATGTCAATATCCATTTCCAGCCCAAGAGGTCTCTCATTGACCCACCAGTCAGACCAAAAGTCCAAGGAGTTACCGTCTCCAACTCTCCAACGAGCTCCAATTTCAACGATAGATCTCCCTTTGAGAATGCTCTTCCACCCCCACGATGCATATGTCGGTGTAGGAGATGTGAAGAAATTTCCCGCCTGAACGTATTTATGGTTTAAGGCTTGAACCCAAAGTTTATCTGGATTGTTGAGTGTTTGCCAGGCCAACTTAGTCAAGAGAGCCAAATTGAAATCCTTAGCTGTTCGTAGCCCTAGACTGCCCAAGTTCCGGGGCTTACAAACCTCCTTCCAATTGACAGGATGCATTTTCCTTTTTTCCTCTGACGAGCCCCAAAGGAAGTCCCTGCAAATTCTGTCAATTTCATTACACGTACCTGCGGGGAGAGCCAAAGTTTGCATAGTGTACACCGGGACTGTGGCTAGAGCCGATTGTATTAGAATTCTTCTCCCAGCTAGACTCAAGGAACTAGCCTTCCAATTGTTCAGCTTTCTACGCATATTGTCAAGGATGTAATTAAAGTGATGTTTCCCCACTCTCTTTTGGAGAATAGGTATCCCCAAGTACTTGCCCAAATTTTCAGTGACTGGGACATTGGAAATATCTCCCAACCTCCGCTTGATCCTGTTAGGGGTATTAGGCGAACAATAAATAAGAGATTTAGAGAAATTAATGTTCATCCCTGACCATCTGGTGAATCTATTGAGACAATCCATAATAGAACTCATTTGATTTTCTGTGGCTTCTCCAAACAACATTAAATCATCCGCGAAGAAGAGATGGGAGATCCCGATTCCTCCCCTAGAGATGTGAACTGGACTCCAATTTCTATTACTGATCTCCTTGTGGATAGAATAAGAGAGTTTTTCCATTGCCAGAATAAAGAGATAGGGTGCTAACGGGTCCCCCTGTCTAAGGCCTCTTCCTGGTTCAAACGGTGGGATTTTACCCCCGTTCCATAGGATGCCAATTTTGCTCTCCTTAAGCGAGAAGAGAATCAATCTAATCAAGCGACTAGGGACCCCGAAATCATCGAGCACTGTTTCAAGAAAGCCCCACTCTAGACTATCATAGGCCTTATGTAAGTCGATTTTCATCACCAAGTTGCCTTTCTTCCCCTTCTTTCTATTGATGGTGTGCATAACTTCCTGGGTAAGGACAATGTTGTCCAAGGTAGATCTGCCTGGGAGGAAGCTATTTTGGTGGGGACCAATGAGCTTATCCATGAGGGGTCTCATCCTGTTGACAACCACTTTGGACAAAATTTTGAAAATCACGTTAAGCAAGGTGATAGGCCGGAAGTCAGCAGCACTTTCCGGACTATCTTTTTTAGGAATGAGCGTGATAAAGGCTTCAAGAAAACTTACCGGGATTTTACCTGTAGCCAAAGCCTCGTTGACGAATCCGGTGATGTTACTCCCCACCTCTTCCCAGTAGTCTTGATAGAAAGCTACTTGGATGCCATCCGGTCCTGGACTTCCTAGCCTTTTCATCCCGAAAACCGCCTTTCTAACTTCCTCCATGTCAGCACACCTAATTAAGGTTTCAGATTCCGTTGGGTGAAGCCTTGGCCCCGAGTGTTGGTCCGGTGTGTGACTTTCCATATGGTTTGACCTGCCAAGTAAGTTTGCAAAAAAGAGAGAAACATGATCTTTAAGAGCCTTGGGATCAGAGTTCCACTCACCGTTAATTTTCAGGGATCTGACCCTCGCCCTATTCCTCCTGATGATGGTGGACTTGTGGTAAAAGCTGGTGTTTTTATCTCCGTCTTGGATCCATGCCTTTCTAGATTTTTGGAACCAAAATAACTCTTCCTGAGAAAGGATTAAGTTGAGCTCTTTTATGAGCTTATGTTCCAAAACTTGAAGACCCCGGGAGGTGTTATACCAGGGGGATTCTTGGATGCCCTGGATTCTGGCTTGAATCAGTCTTTTCCTTTTAAAAATATTCCCGAAGGTGTCTTCGTTCCATTTCTTGCTCATGGTGGTAACCTCATTAATAGCACCCACCACGTCATTGGCGGGATTGTTCCATGCTTGTCTCCAAATCTCTTTATAATCCTCTCTAGTGAGCCAGGCTGCTTCAAACCGGAAAGGCCTATCTCTTCTGTTTGGCGCGGATCCTGCTATACTTGTAAATGAGATGGGATGATGATCAGAATGGGTTCGAGTCAGGACCTTAGCTTTAGCTTCGGGAAAGGAAACCTGGGCTTCTATGTTCCAAAAAACCCTATCAAGCTTTCGTCTGATTGTCGTGCGACCTCCGACTTGTCTAATCCAGGTGAACTTTGGCCCTTCCGAGGTGACCTCCATCAGGCCACAATTTTCGAAAGCTTCTTGGAATCTTGTAGCGTTATTCATATTGATACACTCACTACCCCAGTTATCTGACAAGTTCGCGACATCATTAAAATCACCTAACAAAATCCACGGCTCGGTATGTGAGTCCCCGAATCTCTTACAATCAGTCCAAAACAATTCCTTAGCCCTTGGGTTGGGCCTCACATAGGCAAAGGATAAGTAGAACTGTGAGGTTCCTCCTTCCGATGCTTTACAGTGAATGGTTTGAGAATTACTCTCAATCACTTCAATGTCAAGAATATCCTTGTTCCAAAATAAGAGAAGACCCCCTGCAAAACCGAGGGTGTGAACCAAATAATGATTATTAAAACCCAACTTACTTAGTGATTTGAAGAGCTTGTCGGCCTTGTTGGTTTTGGTTTCCAGAAAACAAATGGCCCCCACATCCCTGTTAGCTAGAAGAGACTTAGTGTGGCGGATGGTTGCCTGGTTCCCAATACCCCGACAATTCCAGGAGATCACTATCATTGGGAGGGGAAGTGCGAAGAGGAAGTTTGTTGACCGCCTTCCATGCGCGTAAACAGAGTGGTAAACACCGGAGGAGTTCCTCCAACCGACTGAGAAGCGTGATGGGCTTCCCAGTTCGAACCAAAAACAAATCCTCCATTATCCACCTCGGCCCTAGGTGCATGCTGCCTCACTGCCATATCGCTTGCTGACACACGAGTGAGACTTGTAGGGTTGCTGGCTGACGTCTGCCCTTGCATGGGTGGTTTGTCAGCCGGTGATTGTTCATGGTTCCGAACTTTACTCTGTTTGCCTTTGGGCTTCCTTCCCTTCTGCTGAGTGGTTTTAGTGCCATTACTTGCACTTCCTGAGCCCACCTCTCCTTCAATAAATACATGAGTCTCATGAAGCTCTCCCACATCCTGCAAGGAAGAGAAAATGTTACTAACAGGGACAGTAGATGTAGATTTATTTACCTTCTTTTTCCGGTTCATGGCCGGAGCTCTAGAGGGTAAGTTGCCATCATCCGCCACCTCCTTGTTGTTAACAGTATTATCTTTTGGTTTCAGCACCAGTTTCCTTGCATTCTGGTACTTGTTACGTGATTGTTCTTGTTGCTTAGTCTTCTTATTGGTTACCATCATCCAAGGCCCATATTTAACGTGGACCTTCTCGGTTGATTCATTTTCTTCCCCACCAGTCTCTTCCATCGGTGCTGCAGCATCTAGGTTAGGTTGAGTGGCTTCCTCTGGTGAGTTTCCTTGTTTACACGTGGCCGACACATGCCCAACCGGCCCGCAGCGAAAACAGATGGTGTGGAGGCCTTCGAATTCTACGGTTTGGATTTTGTCACCTACCCAAACCATAGAGACGAGCGGTTTCTGCAAATCAATCTCGACTGCGGCCCTAGCGAACTTGGTTCTCTCGACCCCCTCAGTATTGTTGTCAAGTTTGATTGGAGTTCCCACGAATGAGAGAATTTTCTTGATCGCCTTGTTCTTGTAGTATTCCACCGGAATCTCCGGCAGCCGAACCCACACCGCCATCTTTTCCATCTTGGCCGTTCGTGGATTGAAATCTGGGCGCCATCTCTGGGGGATGACGTAGCAGTCAAACAGTTTCCAGGGACCTCCCAGGAGGACGTGCCTGTACTCCGCCGCAAGGCTGAAGCGTGCCACGTAACATCCAAAGCCAAGGTCCAGGATTTCCGCCTTGCCGCTAATGTTCCATAGTTTAATCAGACGTTGCCGAAGAAGCGGGAAGGCTGGTGGTTTACCTAGATATTTTATGATTAAAGCTCTTTTCCAAGGCTCCACCAGTTCTTCCCTCTCTTCTTTGGTAAATCTAACAACCGGGATCCCCTCTCTCATCTCGTCTGTGCCAGAGTCCCCTTGCACCGTCAGGTCTTCGTCCAACCAGTCGGAATCGGTCTCCTCCGTCGTGTTGTCATCTTCCAGCATGGGCGAAGATGTTATGACCTCGGCAAAGGAACGTTTCAAGATCTTGATCCTCTTTCCTGCATGCGTCGTTCTTCTTGCTTCCTCCTCCGCCTCCTGTACACCAGTCGGCGGCGGGTCACCGGACGCCGAGTCCATTGAAGGTAATTCCATAAACGGTGCCCTACCGGTAACTTACCAAAAAAGCAAAAGGAAAAACGTAGAGAGAAAAGATTCTAGAGAGAAGATTTGATCAATTTTACTTTAAAGTAATTGTGACATATAACAAGTTAGTTTATAGGTAATCAATTAATGTAAAGTAATTGTGATATATAACGATGAATTGAATGATTTTTTTTATCTCAATTAAAAGTTTAAACTGACAATTTGATTGTATTATTGTTTATATATTTTTCCCAACACCATACACATCATTGGGTAACATATTTGTTAAATTTTTTTTATTTTTTATTTTTTTACAAAACCAAAATAGTATTCTTCCTTTTATTATAGTTAATCTGGTTCAAGTGTTATAAATTGAATAACATGAGTTTAATGAGTTTACTATTATGGAGCTTAACTTTGTATCAATTAACGTTTAATGTAGTTATTGAATTTTAGACTACGCATATATTAGTTGAGTGTCAAT